CTACCTGTCATCTCTGTTATTGTTCCCACTCCTATTGTTCTTCCTCCCAGCCCTACTGCTTCTTCTTCAGGTCCTGTTACTCAATTCCTTGAGTCCACTGACACCAATGGCATTTTGCCACACTTAACTCAATCTACTCCATCTCAATCCTCTAATACTTCATCTAGTTCTTAGGCTCCCACTTCAGACAAAGTCACTCCCAGTCATTCTTCATCAGATACCTCTTCTTCTACCTCACAGGCTAGTACCTCTTCATCCTCCACTTCTTCTAATACCAGACCCTCTATTCCACCTAAAGTTGTTCTAGTACCTCAACCCCATAATTCTCATTATATGCAAACCAGGGCCAAATCTGGTTTTGCTCAACCTATATTGGACCCCAAACTACTCTTGGTTACCACTGAACCCAAGAATGTCAAGTCTGATCTTGCTGATGCTAATTGGAAAGAAACTATGCAAGCTGAGTACCATGCCCTTATTAACAACAACACCTGGAACCTTGTTCCCCTTCCACCCCAGAAGAATGTCATTGGCTGCAAATGGGTGTTTAGGGTTAAATAAAATCTAGATGGTACAATGAATAAGTATAAATCTAGACTGGTAGTAAAGGGGTTCCATCAAAGGTATGGATTTAATTTTACAGAGACTTTTTCAGTTGTGGTTAAACCAGACACTATTAGGCTTATTTTACCCATTGCTCTTACTCATAAATGGCCTATTCAGCAATTAGATGTCAACAATGTCTTTCTCAATGGCATTCTTAATGAAGAACTTTATATAGAGCAGCCATAAAGGGGTTTGAAAGTGATAATCCAGCCTTAGTTTGCAAGCTCAACAAGGCCCTTTATGGCATGAAACAAGCCCCTAGGCAGTGGTTTGACATACTGCAATCTACTCTAATCCAGCTCAAATTTAAACCTAGTAAGTATGATCCTTCCCTCCTCACTTATTTTGTTAGAGGCCACACCATCTACATGTTAGTCTATGTGGATGATATTATCATCACGGGTGATTCTGCCTCACTTATTAACACCATCATTGATTCGCTGTCGCGCACGAATCAAAGACGAGTATTTTTGAAAAAATAGTAAAGGGAAGCGACACTCGGATGTCTATCGCAAGGATTCTTGTATTATTTCAATCAAAAAAAAAGAAAAGTTTTATAAGGGGGGTTTGTATTTCGATTAAAAGAAAATTTGTGCATATAAGTGATTATAAAAATAAGCTCAAACGGCTAATCTTATTGATTTGGATTCTGACTTATCATCGGATATTATAACATCAATTCCTAAGCGGATTCGATCCTATTCGATTATGATATCAATTATACAAGTTCTTATCAAAATCAAAAGAATTATGTTCCTGTTTACCGAATTAAGCAAACGGTTAAGAATATGACGAGTTAACGAATTAAGCAAACGATAACACGCAATTAAATTTAGGAACATACATACAATCGAATTAATCAATTCTATCATATGAAGATCAATCGAATTAATCAAACAATTACAATCAAATTAAGAAAATGATTTCATAGAAAATGATTGAAAGGAATCAAATTTAAATTGGTGTTATAATAACCTGAAAGCGATGGAACCGTACACAACGGGATTTTCCCGTGAAAATTAGTTCTCCATTACAATTGTAAAAAGCAAAGTAAAATAGTGAAAAGAATTTTATAAATAGTAGAACGGTTGCTACTAGGTATAGGGAAGCATCAGAAAATTTGGTTCTAACCCAACTTGGTCGAAAAACATAAAAAACACGGCCCAAAACTAAATATTTATAACGACATATTTCCGGTCCTGACTTCAATGAATTATTTGAGCCTTCTAAACTTCGAATCAGCTTTTGTCTCAAACATGAAAGTTGTATCTCTTTGTCTTATCTTTCCAATGCCTATTAGAATGCGCAAATCTGATTCTCGTAGCTCCAGTTATGATTCAAACAGTAGACAGATATCAAATAACCGCTAAAGCTGAAAATAAGTTGCGAAAATAGATTAACGAAAAATAAAGACTTAATTATAAAAATATAATAAAACAATAAAATAAAAAAAACAAACTAAGGAAATTACTAATTACAAACATAAGAGAATGTGCATTAAAATGCACTGATCAATCATCTCCAAACTAAACTCAAGTTTCTCTCTTAAACAACTTGGCTCCTTTGACTGCTTCTTAGGGATTGAGGTCTAACAACCTAACTCTGATTCCTTACTTCTCACTCAGTCCAAATATATCAAGGACCTCTTAGTGAAAACTAACATGTTAGAGGCCTGTCCTGTTCAAACTCCCATGTAGTCCTCTTGTAAACTCACCAGAATTGGTGCCTCAGCTATGTCTGATCCTTCTCTTTATAGGTTTGTGGTTGGTTCCCTACAGTATGCAACTCTTACCAGGCCTGATATAGCTAATGTTGTCAAAAAGGTGTGTCAATTTATGTCTCATCCTCTGGAGCCTCATTGGGTTGTTGTTAAGAGAATTCTCAGATATCTCAAGGGCACTATTGGTCATGGGCTCTTGATTTCAGCTCCATCCATCCTCTCCACCCTCTCTACAAGTCTATTGTGGTGCAGACTGGGCTGCTGATCCTGATGACTGAAGAAGTACATCAGGAGCTACAATTTATTTTGGTGTTAATCTCATCTCTTGGTGGTCTAAGAAACAACCTGTAGTGGCCAGATCTAGCACAGAAGCTGAGTATAGAAGTCTAGCTCAAGCCATTGTTGATCTTCTATCTGTGAATGCAGACCTTAGTCAAGGAGCTATTCACCTCAACCAAAACTCATTTGGTCCTTTGTGATAATCAATCTGCAGTATTACTGGAACACAATCTTATACTTCACTCCAGAACAAAACACATGGAAATTAATTTGTTTTTTGTCCGGGAGAAAGTTATGTCCTGACAGTTGTCCATCGCTCATATTTCAGGCACTGACCAGTGAGCAGATACACTCACAAAACCTCTCCCCTCTACAAGGTTTCTTGAGCTCAGGCACAAACTCAACATGAGAGACTCCCCTTGAGTTTGTGGGGGGGGGGGGGGGGGGGGGAGGATATTAGAGTGTAGCGGCTTTGTATAATTCAGAACTGACAAGTGTCAGTCTGAGTAGTTTGTTTAACCTGTTACTACAGGTTTTTTGTTAGTTAGAACCTGCTACTGCAGTTTAGCTTTATTTAGCAAAACCTGTTAAGGAAGGTCATAAAGTTAGTTTTAACGTGCTAGTGCAGGTCAATGCAATTGTTGTATAAAAAGGAAACTCAAGTGTAACTGAATTCATTCAATCAATAACAAAAAATAAAGTTTGTTACAATCATGAAACTCTCTCTCTCTCTCTCTCTCTCTCTCTCTCTCTTCACTTTCTAATAAAGGGAAATCCTGGATTAGTGAAAGGAATGTGTCTATCTTCACTGATGTTGATTGGGCAGGTTCATTCACAGATAGAAGATCAACCTCTAGATACTGTACCTATGTTTGGGGTAATCTTGTGACATGGAGGAGCAAGAAACAATGAGTTGTACCAAGGAGTAGTGCAAAAGCCGAGTTTAGAGCTATGTCTCAAGGTATTTGTGAAGGATTATGGATCCTTAGAGTTATAGAAGAACTTAAGATGAAAATTGAGTTTCCATTAAAATTATACTTTGACAGTAAAGTTGCTATTAACATAACTCATAATCCAGTTCAACATGACAAAACCAAACATATTGAGATTGATCGACACTTCATAAAGGAGAAGTTAGATGCTGAAATAATATGTCTACCTTTCGTGAGTTCAAGTCAGCAAACTGCGGATATCCTGACAAAAAGTTTGGCAAGACCTACCTTTGAACATTTGATAGACAAGTTGGACATGATAGATATTTATGCACCAACTTGAGAGAGGGTGTTGGAAAATAATTTATTTCTCTATTTAATTGTTTCTGTTTATTGTCATTTATTTTCTTTTATTCTCCATTAAGGAGAGAATTAAGTGTATTCACTGTATTATCATTATATAAATCCGCCTTTATCTGAAGAATAAAATCACAACAGCTTTTACCTGTTTTTTCCAATAAATAGTGTATCAGTTTTTAACTATATATGCTGACTCAAAATTTTACTAACGGTCTTGCTGTCAGACCACATCACCAGAATTTAATATTTTTTTTGTTAGAAATTGACGTAAGGGACCAAATAGATTAACAAAAGTGATGTTAAGTGACTAACTTATAACGTTTTTTAATTAAAGGACTAAAGTTGAATATTAAATTAAATTAAGAGACTTGGTGACTAATTATACCTTTAATTTTCATGCAATGGTTATCATACTGAGAAAAACTTGACTCAAACTAAGACTATTTCACTTGCATATGTACTCTTTATCAATGATATTTCATTTTAATTTTTCCCCGCTGATACATATAAGGAAAAAAATGATCATTTATCAATGTTGTAACAATGCATGTTTGGTTTAGTTTATCCAGAAGAGAATAATGATGCAGCCAATAGGTAAATACAGTCTCCTTTCTCTCCGCCACAAGAAAGAACATAATATTTCATTTAGTTTATTCTGGTGGTTGATCTGTGAACGAGTACTCTCATCAGATTTGAAGCAAGCAAGTTGCAAAAGCAGTATGCAAACTTTACGAAATAGGAAAAAGTAAGAACATAGTGATTTCAGTATAGCTTTAGTTACACCATTCTTTGCTTTTAATGTTCTTTTGTCACAATCACCTTTCACGACATTGTTACATGGATAGTGCACCACTAATATCAATTATAGAATGGAATCAGCATTCCATCATGGAATTATATATTGCTTGCCAGCTCTATACTTTTGATTTTTTGTTAGACAACGATCAAATATTATTACTATTTATTCACATGTGAATCTCTCTTTTACTATATCCACTTCCAACCATTTAAAAAAAGAAGTTCTATCCATTCACATACAAGCCTTTGCTGTCCATTCTCAAACGAGTCATTGCTCATTTCCTTGAAACTTTTGCTAATACAACATGGCTGCTGCAACCATGATAGGAAGTGCTTTTCTCTCTGCAACTGTTCAGACCTTAGTTGAGAAACTTGCTTCCAAAGAGTTTCGTGATTACATCATTAACACCAAGCTCGACGACTCACTCTTGAAACAGTTAGGACAAACACTACTCACTATTCAACCTGTGCTAGATGCTGCAGAGGAGAAGCAGATCAACACTCCTTCTGTCAAACAATGGCTTGATGGCTTGAAAGATGCTGTCTACGATGCTGAAGATTTGCTCAACCATATTAGCTATGATTCCCTTCGATGCAAGATGGAGAACATGCAAGCTGCAAGCAAAACTAATCAGGTGTGGAACTTCCTTTCTTCTCCTTTTAAAAACATCTACGGAGAGATCAATTCCCAAATGAAGATCATGTGTGAAAGCTTGCAACTTTTTGCACAACATAAAGATATCGTTCGTTTGCAAACTAAAAGTGCTAGAGTTTCTCATAGAACACCTTCAAGTTCTATGGTCAATGAATCTGTCATGGTTGGTAGAAAAGAGGACAAAGAGATAGTAATGAACATGCTGCTATCAGATAATGGCACTAGCAGATAAATATAGAGGTAGTTACAATTTTAGGCATGGGAGGTGTCGGAAAAACAACACTTGCACAACTTGTTTACAATGATGAAAAAGTTGAAGATCACTTTGATCTCAAAGCATGGGCTTGTGTATCAGAGGATTTTGATGTTTTTAGAGTAACCAAAACTCTCCTTGAATCTGTCACTTCAAAAACATGGGAAACCAATAATCTTGATTTTCTTCGAGTTGAGTTAAAGAAAAATTTGAGGGACAGGAGGTTTTTCATTGTGTTGGATGACTTATGGAATGACAATTATAGTGATTGGGATGAACTTGTATCTCCGTTGATAAGTGGAAAAATTGGAAGCAGGGTGATCATCACAACACGCCAAGAAAAAGTTGCAGTTAATGCATGCACATTTCCAATTTATAAATTAGACCGTCTATCAGATGAAGACAGTTGGTCTTTACTCTCCAAACATGCATTTGGAGGTGTAAACTTTTGTGAAACTAAATGCCGGAACCTAGAAGCAATTGGCAGGAAGATTGCAAGAAAGTGTGGTGGATTACCATTAGCTGCGAAAACACTTGGAGGACTACTGCGTTCGAAAGTAGATACTAAAGAGTGGATTGAAGTTCTGAACAGCGGCATATGGAAGTTACAGAATGATAACATTTTGCCTGCATTGCTCCTGAGTTATCAATATCTTTCCTCTCAATTGAAAAGATGTTTTTCTTATTGCTCTATTTTCCCAAAGGACTATTCACTTGATAGGAAGCAATTGGTTTTGCTGTGGATGGCAGAAGGTTTCTTTGATCAGTCTCAAGACGGAAAAACCATGGAAGAAGTAGGTGATGAGTGTTTTGCTGAACTGTTATCCAGATCATTAATTCAACAACTGCATGATGATTTTAGAGGACAAACATTTGTCATGCATGACCTTGTTAATAATCTAGCTACAGCCGTATCTGGAAAAAGTTGTTACAGGCTTGAATTTGGAGGTGATAGCTATGAAAATATTCGCCACTTGTCGTATAATCAAGAGACATGTGACATTTTTAAGAAGTTTAAGACTTTATGCAAATTGAAATGCTTGAGAAGCTTCTTACCCATTGGCTCTTGGAGGGAAACACATTACTTATCTAGCAAGGTGGTCAATGATTTGCTACCCACATTTAGAAGGTTGCGTATGTTATCGTTATCAAGTTATACAAACATTACCACGTTACCCGATACAATTGGCAATTTAGTGCAGTTGCGTTATATTGATCTTTCCGATACTCAAATTACAAGCTTGCCTGACACCATATGCAGCCTCTACTACTTGCAAACCTTGATTTTATCTCGGTGCTTTAAACTCACAGAATTGCCAGAACATGTTGGAAAATTAATTAATTTGCGTCATCTTTATATTGATATGACAAGCATAATAGTGATGCCGAAGCAAATTGCTGAACTAGAAAATCTTCAAACACTATCTCTTTTTATAGTAGGCATGAAAAATATTGGTTTAAGTATCAGAGAGCTTGTGAAGTTTCCTAAGCTACAGGGAAAATTATTCATCAAGAATCTGCAAAATGTCATTGATGTGATGGAGGCAAGTGATGCCAACTTGAAGAGCAAAGAACATATTGAAGAATTGACGCTCCAGTGGGGCAAGGAAGCTGATGACTCACTTAAAGGAAAAGATGTGCTTAATAAGTTACAACCAACATCAAATTTGAAGAAGCTGAGCATTGACTTATATGGTGGGACAAGTTTCCCAAGTTGGTTGGGAGACTCTTCATTTTCTAACATGGTGTCTCTCTGCATTGATAATTGTGCGAATTGCGTGACACTTCCGCCATTAGGACAACTACCTTCTCTCAAAGACTTGAAGATTTGTAGAATGACAATTTTGGACACAATTGGGCCGGAGTTTTATGGCATGGCAGCCAGAGGTTCCCGTTCTCCGTTTCAACCATTTTCTTCCCTTGAGAAGCTTGCAATTAAGCAAATGTCAAATTGGAAGGAATGGCTTCCTCTTCAAGATAACATATTTCCTTTTCCTCGTCTGAAATCTCTGGAGTTATTTGAGTGTCCCAAATTGAAAGGACCTTTACCTAGCCATCTTCCTTCCATTGAAGAGATTAAAATATATGGCTGTGATTGTCTCTTGGCAACACAACCTACTCATCATTGGCTCTCCTCAATAAAACAGATTTATATTGAGGGCGATTCGAATTCAGAAAGCAATACTAAAAAGACCCAATGCTCATTGCTTGAGAGTGATTGTCCGTCTCTTCTACAAGGTATAACCATCATAAGGAGCTGTCATATACTAAATTTTTTTCCTAAAATGATTAGAAACAACACCTGTCTTCGACACTTGAATCTCTATGGTATTAATTCTGTCAATGTGTTTCCAACAAATGGTTTACCCACTTCTTTGCATTCACTACGTATTGACAAATGTGAGAATTTGACATTCTTACCTCCTGAAACATGGAGCAATTACAAATCACTTGTGATTCTTGTTTTATGGAACAGCTGCAATGCACTTACCTCCTTCCCATTGAACTGTTTTCCTATGCTCCAATATCTTTACATCAAGAAATGTAGGAGTTTAGAATCTGTTTTTATTTCAGAAACATCTTCGTGTAGCTCGTCAACCCTCCAATATCTTGAGATTAAGGATTGCGAGGCACTTAGATCACTACCTCAACGGATGGACACCCTCACTGCTCTTGAATGCATAACTCTATGCAATCTTCCAAATTTGAATTTATCATTATGTGAAGGAGTTTTCCTACCTCCCAATTTACAATCAATTCATATTGAATCAGTGAGAATAACAAAGTCGGTAACAGAGTGGGGTCTCCAAGGCCTTACTTGTGTTCGTTCAATGGAGATCGGAGGTGATGATATTGTTGACATGTTTCTCAAGGAGCCGTTGTTGCCCATTTGCCTTGTGTCTCTAGAACTCAAAAGTCTCTCTGAAATGAAATCCTTAGAAGGAAATGGACTTCGACACCTCTCCTCTCTAGAAGAACTTTGCTTTAATAATTGTCAAGAGCTTGTGTCATTTCCAGAAAAAACATTTCCCTCCTCGCTGAAATCACTTGGCTTTTATAAGTGTCCAAGACTAGAGTCATTCCCAGAAAACAGTCTCCCTACCTCTTTTGAGCAACTGTTCATTCGAAGTTGCCCGTTGTTAGAAGAAAGGTATAAAAGGAAAGAAAATTGGTCCAAAATCGCTCACATCCCATTCATAGACATAAATAGACATGTCACAATATGAGCCAAGGGAATGAAGAATTCGCATCATGTTTCAGGTATGAATGTTACTTTTTGTTTGCTATAAGTTGTATACTTGTGTTCATTAATATTGTCTATAAGATTTTTAATTCTTCATGCAATGATTTTTAATATTTCTGACTCTGACTCAGGTTTGAATTCCAGTGCTAACTGATCAATGAGTTGGAAACACGAGAGTGAAAAGCATGAAGTGCTGAAGTAGTTGGTACAATTACTTGCTTAGCAAGCCAGCTTAACCATTGATATAATCTTTAGCTTAGCTTCTTAATAACTAACTTATATTAGGTTGTTATAGGTTGTTGAGAGTTAGTTAGTGATGATACCTAACTATAGATGTTATAAGTATGGTGAGTTTGATTATTGTATAGTAAATTTGTTGTAACTCTTTTATCTATTATGCAATGCAAGCTATCTTTCTCAATTTTAATGGTGTTCTTGTTTTAGTTTTCACATAGTATCATTGAAAGGTGGCTCCGCTTTCACCATCACTATTGCATAATCTTCACAAATCTCACCATATTCTTTCTTTACTTCATTGATTGTTATCTTCTTTTTATTCTTCTGCTTTCTTTCCCCTCTGCAATCATGTCAGTTAAGAGTTCCTCGAGCACCATTAATGGTCATGCTTCACGACTTCAACCTTATATGAATTTCAACACCAATAAAGACTATCAAAATTATACCTTTAATCTATACTTCATGCATTCTAATGAGAAGCTACCTATTGTGTTAGTTACTCCATTATTGAATGCTAGAAACTATCATTCATGGTCCAGATCCATGACGATGGCTTTACACTCCAAGAACAATCTCAACTTCATTAATGGTGTTTTTCCAAGACCACCAGATGAATATCATGACTCCCTTTCTTGGGATGGAAGTAACACGATGATCATGTCATGGCTGAATAATATAGTGGACTCTGAAATATCTGAGTATCTTATGGATGGAAACTGCTTCAAGCATATGGAAGGAACTAAAAGATAGATTTTATCACGGTGATATGTTCAAAATTTCAGATAGTCGTGAAGAGATTTGTACTCTAAAGTAAGGTGATTGTTCTATCTCTTCTTAATACATAAAATTAAAGATGTTGTGGCAAGAATTTGACAATTTCTGTCCCATCCCTGCTTGTAATTGTGATATCTCATGTTTAACAATTGATAAGATTCGTAGTTACAAGAATTTTGACCAAGTCCTCAAATTCTTGAAAGGATTGAATGACCAATATTCAATTGCTAGATCTCAAATAATGTTGATGGATCCTCTTTTCAACATTAGCAAAGTCTATTCTTTACTTGTTCAACAAGAAAGACAAATTGTTTCTCCCATTGATAAATCCAAACTTCTGGCTTTTCCTACTAGTTAATTCTAAGGCAGAGGTGGTAGATCCTTCAATGGTTGAGGCAGAGGTACTCCAATATGTACACATTATGGTATAACTAATCATACTATTGATACATGTTTCAAGAAACATGGATACCCCCATTGGCAATAACAAGGACTGATAATAAATGTATCTCATGATGAGGAGGCTCCTCCTGAAAATTTTGAAGAAAAATTTCATCATCAGGATTTAGGTTTCTTATATTTTACTCCATACCAACACAAAGCTCTGTTAGCCTTACTTCAATCTTCAAAACTCAACAATCATAGTGTTAACCACCTCACCACACACTCAAAGTCAAATACAGGTATTATCTGCATTATTCCTATCAATGTTTCACTCGAATCCTTCATATTCGATGACACTGATCATGTATGTTTCTCTCGGAAAATTTTCTCTTGTTTGGAAATGATCTCCCCTATAATAGTCATGCTTCCCAATGGATCCATAGTCAACATTGATTATGAATGAACTATTTTCTTTGATCACGTTCATTATAATCAATGTTTATACATGCCTCAGTTTGATTTCAACCTTATTTTTGTCCCAAAGTTAACTCATTGTCTATATTGCCAACTCATTTTTAACAATTCTACATGTTTAATACAGAACTCCTACTTAAAGAAGATGATTGGTGCAACTGACTTGAAAGGTGGATTGTACATTCTCAATCATCCTTAAGTTGCACTCTCAAACACACTCTCATGCATTTCTGAATCATGTGTCAAGATTTTACATTTGAAGTACAATATGTAACAACATAAATCCCAAAACTTATATAAAAAGGATTACTCGACAATTTAAGGCGTCACCATAACAATTTTGAAAACATGCAGCAGGAAAATAAACAACATACAACACCTCTCATCAATTGCTCACCTTCACTTAGGGTATCATCACAACAGAATCACATTAATCGCGATAATAAAACATATAACTTCAAATTTGGGTCTTATAAAGACTTAACTTGCCCAAAAAGATTTAAAAAGGAGTTTCAATATCCCGCTTTCAACAACTTCAAAACAACACAATATGATAGTCATTTAACTTCGAAGAGACAAGTAAGTAGACCTAAAACATAATAAAGAAAACATTTGTTCGCCCCCAGTGTTACAGAATCAGAGCATAACGACTAAATAAAAGTGATAACTAAAGAAAATAACTCCAAGAGCTATCTCTCACTCACAGCAGCAACTCTACTCCTGAGTATTTGCAAGATGTCTATGGTGGACAACATCAAATCAAAGGGGGTGAGAATTCACATCAATAAGTTAACAGCATAATTTGAAGATTAGAATTCAAACATCTACACAATCCACATCAATCATACAACATCGTTCTCACACCCAATCCATCACCATACACAAATTAATCACATGTTCATCAATTAAATTATGCAATAAGACTCACAACTTCAACTAGACTCATATACACGTGGTACCATATTATCACCAATTGGTTCACTCAGGAACCGGGTTCACCCTACTTGAACCCCGAATCCACCCTGCTTAGATTTGGGATAAGTCACCAATCCACCCTGCTCGAATTACAACTTGTCTCTTTCATCAACAAAAATGACATAATGAATTCATGTCACAACATGTCAATGCAACAACAACATAATGTTTAAATTCTCCTCCCGATCATAAATAAAACATGCATTAACCTAATGATAATAGTTCTCCTCCCGAAATATCATTCTACAACAACATACTCATAACTCAACAACATAATTCATGCTCATACAATTGCATATCATCATCACAATTCACATAAATTAACACAACATCATTGTCATACTTGTAATTTCATCACACATATTCATAACATATTTACATCATTCAAACATAGTAATTCATCTCATAAAACACCACCATAATGTAGCTCTGTGCGTTAGTTTTCCAATGCTTCGAATCACGCCCCAATTTGAGTCCTGAAACTCAAGTTACGCTAAAAGAACGTCTCACCTGGTACAAAAATCCATGAAGCTGTTACGGTCACCCAGAGCAATTGCTACGGCCCGTAGCGATACCCAGGACCCAAAAATCCTGTTTTGTAAATTTCCCCCCATTAGAGCACTTTTGGAGCTCCGATTTTGATCCCGTAAAAACTAGGATGCTCAGAATTTATCATATGACAATTATAACATGATTTTAACATCTAAATAAACAATACCTCATCAATTATGTATCAATTATCAAGTAATTCTGATAGAACCTACTAGACTACCAAGATCAGAATTGCATAAGAGATAAAACAAAATAACAACTTCATTCTTATCCCTAAAAATATCTCATACAAGATATTTATATTTAGGGTTACATAGATTTAAATGGGCCTAGTATACTGACCCACTAAAAGTACAACTTGAAATTACTAAACACACCATTAATTAATGATAAAATCCTTAAGTAAAACATAAGTTTTCTTCATTCTACTGGGCCTGATTATTTTTCTAACAATACTCTTAGGGTCCAAGAGAACCTTGTCCTCAAGGTTCAGAGTGGAGGCAATGGGCTGGGGTGAGATTGTGTGTTTATTGGGCTTAGTGGGTAAGCTAGCTATTGGACTCGGTAGGCCCATAGGGGGGAAATGAAGGTGAGAAAATACTTAGAAGGGGGGGTTGAATAAGTATGACAAATAATCAAAGATTCAAACACAGTTATTTTTATCCTGGTTCGTTGAACTCAACTACTTCAGTCCACCCTCTCAAGAGTGATTTGCCTTTCTCAGTCAAGGACTTAATCCACTATTTAATCAAACTGATTACAATAGTAACACCTAAGAACAACTGTTCTTAGTCTTCTCAAGAGCTACTGATCCCAACTGGATCCTCTTAAGGAAAACCTTTTACAATCAATGTAAAACTATTACAAGAGTAAGAATGCTTCTAACAAGCCTTTATCACAACTGTGATATTTCTCTTACGTTTAAGAACAAAGTTACAACAAATAGAATATAAGAGCTTTGAGAGATTTGCTTGATAAGTGCTTTTTCAATTGATAATTTCGTCAACTGAAGAAGATGGAGTGGACTTCCTTATATAGGCACATAGATCCATGAAGTCTTCTCACGTTGGAGGCTGTGCTGAAAAAGCCTGGAGCCTTTTGTCTTTTCTCTGCAGAATCTTTCCTTAGAATGGAATGCACAGATAAAACCTTTTTGTCTGTGTTCTTGTGTCTAGCATAAAAGAGGAAAGAGCTGTTGAGATAATCCAACGGTCATATTCAAATCTTCTTCACTAAGTAAGTTCAGCAATCAACATCAGAGTCTGGATCTTCAGAATCTTCAGAGTAGAGATCTTCTGGATCTTCAGAGTCTTGGGATGTTTTTCAGATTATGCTGAATCAGAGTATGTGCAGCTTGTGTGCTTTGAGTGTGTACTTCTCTCAAATCAGAGTCTTCCATATCAGATTCTCAATACATTGCAGCGTGTAGTATCTTCAGAGTCTTCTGATGACTATGCTTCTGAACTCTCAGAGTCTTCTATTCATTAGAGGCTTCTGCTTCAGAATCTTCAGTAGACAGCACTCAGATTCTTCTGGAGGCAGCGTTCAGATCTTCATTTAAGATGCTCTTGAACCTTTGAAGCCTTT